TTTTTGCAATGACGTCATCTGCATAGAAATGTATGCATATCGCCTCATTCAAATATGAGTGTTGTGGCAATTTATCATGTTCTTTTAGATGTAACTGGCATTGCTTAAACCTGAACATATGTAGACGAGGCCATCCGAACTCATCCAAACCCAAATAATAAATGTTATCATGTCGAAGGTATTTTCATGTTTGGCTTGCTGTAGTGTCATCCTGATCTCGCCACTTAACCCTCTTCCCATGAAGACAATACCAAGGCTGGGACCTTGGCCTTGGCGGATGCCTCGGCAGACAGAGGACGTCGTCTGTGGGGGTGGGGGGTGGGGGGGAGGTTAAAAAGATTATTTTCCACTAACAATGAGCACCAAGACAATAATTGCTTGGCAAAGGTGCACTCTACGTTTTGCAGGTGCTTTGAGAATTACAGTTTCCCTTAGACTTATTTGCACAGGTTTAGCGCAAAAGCTGCGCAATCCTTTTGTGAACTCACCCCACATACTTTATAGTGGTAAAGCCTCTTTTTGTTGTTGTTTTGTGTCTCAATTGGGTTTCACATCTTAATGTGGTTGTGTCTTGTTTTGGTCTTTTTGTGGATGATTTTTGTCTGTAGTTGCTTTGGCCCTTTTTGTGGTCATATTGCTTCTCTTTGTAGTTGTTGTGTGTCTCTTTGTAGTCATTTTGAGTCTTTTTGAGGTTTCTTTGCATCTGTTGGTCATTTTTCTTCTCTTTGTAGCTGTTCAGCGTCTCTTTGAGGTCAGTTTTGTCTCTTGGCGGGTATTTTGCCCATAACCATTCTTTGAGATTCTCTTTGTGTTGCAGCTATTTTGCATCTCTTTGTAGTTGTTTTGGTCTCTTTGTAGTATCTTTGTGACTATTTGTAGTCATGTAATATGTCTTTTTGGTCGTTTTGGGTCTCTTCTACTGTTGCTTCTTGTCTCTTTGAGTGACATTTTGTAAGAGAAAGCCAGTTCCCTTAGGCCCGTTCTGTAATGCGTCCATGTAACACTGGCTAGTATGGCAGAGACATGATTCACAGGAGACAGTTACTAATGTTGTCCACTAAAGTTATGTTTTAAAGCATAGACCTACTGCAAAAATATCTCCTCCCAGACTGATAACATTTTTCCCATGGTGCTGCTGGCACAGTCTTGAGAAGTAAATTCACATCAAAGACAAAGTGACAAGCAAGTTACAACAGCAGAGAGAGGACAGTTAAGGAAGGAGACAGAGTGAGATATAAAGCCGTACATGTAAGATGAGTAATGCTAAATCTGTCTCACTGCTGACAGACAAAAGCGACAGTAATACGAGGTGAATATGCATAGCAGATGTTCCCCACGCAGGACTAGATTTATTGGACTAGCAAACACTGGGGTGGCAATGTGCCATCTGTCACATGGCAGCAGCAGATAAATTAAAAGTAGCAGCTGTGAGTACACTGTGGAGGTAAGGGCAAGTTATAGCATCTCGCTCGGAGGAGGAAGAGATGCGTGTCAGGGAGGTTATTCCCCTCGGGAAGTCGGATGAGGAGAAGGAAACGAGAGAGGGGAAGAAAGCAGGACTGTGGAGAAAGCGGGAGCGAGGCAGACAGGCGTGTTCTCTCCAAGTTATCGCCTGTTTTTCGTAAATCTTTTCTTCTTTTTTGTAAATCTCAATTCCTTATTTCTTTCTCTGAAGTCTCCTGCATTCTTGTTCTCTCTTGTTTTATACCAAATGTTTTTTTCTTGATTCCACAACAGCCTGTGGCTCTTGTAAGAACAACATGAAGAATGAATAACTTCATTATGACGCGAGCGTCAAAGTGTTGTTGTCCAGGGGCTAAACTTTTTTCTCCAGAGAGCAGCTGAGGTGATGGTACATACGCTAAACAGAAATAAGCAACTCTGGATGCGATTACAGCCTCTGTAAATATAATGCACCAGTAACTTTTAATCAGGGAATATTGTGAAAATGTTTGAATCAGGGCAAAATAAAAAGGTCTGTCCATTTTGTAATTTTGTGAACATTTTGAGTAGTATGTTTCCCCTTATGTTTAAACCAATTTCTGTAACATCGGTTGGAGGTGTGCATTTTAGTGTTGGTTTACGACAATATTATAAAAAGCACAAATTAGAGATGTTCCGATACGAGTTTCTTCCTCCCTGATACTAATTCCGATACCCAAACTTGCATATCGGCTGATACCGAACACTCGCCCAATACTAGTATGTTAAAAACAGAAAATACTTATATTTATGTTTAACGCTATGATCACATCACCCCGGTCCTTCGCAACCTCCACTGGCTCCCGGTCAAATTCAGAATAGACTTCAAAATACTACTCACCACCTACAAAGCTCTAAACAACCTGGCCCCTCCCTACCTTTCAGACCTCCTCCCCCTCCACGCCCCAACCCGTTGCCTCAGGTCTGCCGGTGCAAACACTCTGAAGACCATCAGGACCAAGCGCCGGACCTGGGGTGACAGGGCCTTCTCAGCTGCTGCACCTCCCCTCTGGAACTCCCTCCCCATCCACATCCGTGAGGCTCCCTCCCTATCATCATTCAAACAAGCCCTCAAAACCCACCTCTTCAAACTCGCATTCACCTGCTAACCCCGGCACCCTACCCTCCATTACATGATCCATTCAGCACAGCTTCTCCAGTTATTCTTTTTTTTTTTTCTTTTTGTTTGTTTGTTTGTTCTGTTTGTCTGCCTTGTAAAGCGTCTTTGAGTATCTAGAAAAGCCCTATAGAAAATTGATTTATTATTATTTATTATTATTATTATAACAGCTGTATACAACTAACCTGGTATGGATGAGATATGATTGCAGTACAGCCTAGCTCAGGTTAAACCCTTTGTAAAACATGAACTAATTAATCAATTAAAGACTTTCGCACTGTACACATCACTGTTTTACTCATAGTATTTTCTAGTTAAAAATACTGCCAAATTGCTGACATCTTGCTAGCTCTGGCTAACGTTAAACTTTGAGATGAGAAAGAAGAAAGATGGCGTAACATTGACATTTAGTTATAATGACATTTTGGAATTTTTTTCTTGGGCTGACAACGGGCGAGCCATCTCGCTTCTTTCTCATCTCTGTTGAGTCCCAATGTCAGGACAGGATATATGGATTGGGTAGAGAGTGACACGTGATATTCCTGTGTAGCATAAATGAGCTGATGCCAATACTGGCGTATATGTTGTGTATAACAACTCTAGTGTATATGTACATATGGTCTGGTGTAAAAAGGTATGTATTCCCTTTATACAAAGACATTATGAAAAGTGACAATTGACATATTGCTTAACGCATACCCTCTTTAAACAGATTCTCCATTCATATGAATCTGGGGGCAACGGGACAAGATTTTGTAGTACGAGTGGTATTGACTTATCACGTCGACCGGTCTTTGGTTGAGTGAAGGTAAACAGTCCGTGTGGAGAGCAAATGAGGCGGAATGCATTGGCCAAAATACCAAAATCTTGGATCGTCGGATGATGATTTAGATTTGTATTGGTTTAAAATTAGCTTGTAAACTGGCTACTTGTGTAACAATCCGGTCGTAGATGTTGTCTCTAGACTCCAGTCTCGCATCTAAAGTTTGTAATTGTACTGTAAATAATTCCTCACACTGAAAAGGAAGTATAATTCTGAACCCCACAATTATAGCCCCTTGGAACCCAATGGCTATTGGTCTAAAGATGGATTCTTCAGACCAATAGCCGAGAAAAGACAGAGAAAGCTAAACTACGTGGGGGGAGGGGGGACTTTTGCAGTTTTACAAAACTTATCAGTGCCCACTGCTGGATAAACATACAATGATAATACCATTTCTAAATTACTTCAAACATTCCTTTTAAATTCTCTGGTGCAATTTCTTATTTATCATTCATTGTCAGACTATACAATTAATACCAATTCATCGGCAAAAGGTAATATAAGCTACCTGGCTGGTGTTGCCGAAAGATCTCCTTTAAAACCTAAATCATGAGCTTACTATTATTACTATCCATAGCACACCCACTGCTTCAGTTACCACCCAGCACTGGTTCCCACCCACCATCATATTTCACAGGGAAACACTTAAGAGTATTCTTCAGAGTTGTTGCTGCCATCTCACACAGCCACATAACTAACTAAGGTTACACACACACACATGTACACACTTGAAATAACAGTGCAGGTTTAGAGTCACACCTGCTTCAAACCACAAATTGCCCCCCGTACCCATCATTGGTCTCTTTGTTGTAGAGCCAATCCCTTTACACAAGCCACAGTGTGCCATGGCTTCTGGAGAAACACCTGGCATTGGCTTGCTTAATGCGTTGTCTACAACCAATGACGACTATCTGTAAAAAAATAACAATGAGCGTACAGTATTCAATGAGTGACGCAGTCCAGATTTTGTAAAAAAAATAAAATAAGGAGAAACTGCAGATAAAGTGCTCCTGCTGTTGTGGAACTATATACAGTAACTTGATGGATCATACTGGTGGTTTTTAATTTTACCAATAGACTACTTTCCATTAGTACTCTCAATTATAGGCAGTGGCTTTAGGCAGCCACTGATTTACATTAATTTCGTCACAGCATGAATATCAATTTGCAGAGACTTGAGACTTGCTCGAGTGAAGTCATTGATCACAGTTAACCCTCTTCTTTTTTGTCAAAACACCAATATCAGTGAACAGGGACTCATTTGGACTAATTAGTCTTCAGAGTCAACATCTTTTTAATACCAAAGGAAAACACATTCACAAAATCATTTTGCTCATTGTTTTTCTTTTCGGTTTTCCAACATAGCTAATTAATGCAAGTTGTTTTGGTAGCTGTCTTTGAAATCTTAGATCTTGGACAGTTTTCAAAACAGTCACAGTAATTAATGTTATATTTCAACTTGAAAGCAGCCCTAAACTGATTTTGTAATTGTTGCCCTCCAACAACGGCCCCATAATGTCGAAAGTTTAATCTTCTATAAAAGGTATAGCATAATAAGACAAATATGAAACTCACTTCAGTATAACACAGCCAGACCCAGAGGGCGGCGCCGTCCAGAAGACCTGTATCCTGGTGCGTCTGCGAGGTGTGCTCTCCGTCACTGCAGGGGCACAGTTGGTCATAAACTGTGTGTCCTCTTCATCAATGTTCTAGAAACAGAAGAGGAAAAGATTTAGTACGGACCTATTCAAAAGCAATGTGATTGAACTGATAATTCTCTTCGTCACTCATACATGAACTTCAAACCTTCCAATACCTCACCAGATCATTGGTCAGATGCAATGTGCTTCGAAACAGGACTAACTATCCACCAAATTCATTTTCAATCACTATGTAGTTGCAACTTGTTCAAAAGTTAGAACGCCATTTAAACACTCCCAAAAGTTTTATGTTTGGTGAGGTACAGATCTGGGCAGGTACCGATCAGGATCGGCAATTTCAGTCGGTCGGTCAAGCTCTGTGGTCCAGCATGACAAATCTCCCCAAATGACTGCCATGACATTTTGTACAGACAATCATGATCCCCAGAGGATGAATCCTATTTATTTCTTTGACAGCTTTGTCTCATGCCACCATGAGGTTGGCATTTTAGTATTTTTGTGAAATCTTGCAACAACTATTGGATGGATTGCTATGCAATTTGGTAGAGATATCCATTGTGCCAAGAGGATACTTGGGAACTTGGGGGATGCCTGACTGTGGCAGCATCATCATATCACAGATTCAACTAGTAAAACTATTACTTTGATTTATCTTTCAGTCTTTGCAATGACCATTGCAGCCTCTCAGAAATGCTTGCATGGCTGATGACTTGTTTAGACCTAAACCCTTGAAAAAAAACATTTCAACTTGCATGATGCAGTTTGGTTTAGGAAAAAACAGGGTGTACAGTATGGCATATCCCAACTTATATCCACCTTTCAAATACAAATTTCTGCTCATCGCACCTTTAGCAATCCATGTTATATTTAAAATGAGTGACCATTGGACCATGCATATAATCCTGTAGGTTTATCAAAAGGAATACGGGAAATATTGGGAAAAGCTTATTTTCCCACCAATGGCCGCATGACAAAACAGGTTGCCAGCTAAATGAAAGCATAATAGAAGCAACATGGCTTTTTTTGGAAACTCCTAGCTGGTGCTTATTTTGCAGGGGCTGAGTTTTAAGATGTTATCAGGGGAGAACTTATTCACTTTGTTTCCTCGTAAATGTGTCGTTGGTGCACCAAGTGAGTAGTGTGTCATCTTCATCTGTGATCAGACAGCAAGAGAAGTGAAATGTTTAATGTACTGAGCTATGGTGAAGCAAAGATGAGTTAACTGTACCAGTCCAGTTTAAAGGGTATCAGTTTGGGGGAGCGAGTCAGTAAAAAAAAAACTCTTAAGTCAACATCAACGCTCATTTGTTAACTGATGCCAACAGTTAATATATTATCACATTGTTATCATGATGTATTATTAAAGTATTTTATAGATATTAAGACAACATCAGTAGTCATCATGGAGACATTACTTTAACAGGCCTACCGGACAAAGGCCTAGGGACTCAAAGTGTCAGGGGTCCCCCTTGCCTTCACCTACAAAATGTCATGCAAAGAGACGTGTTCCAACCAGGAAGAGACTCAAAATGACCACAAAGAAACCTAAAACCACAAAAGAGACACAATAAGACTATAAAGAGACCTATTAAGACAAGAGTTTTAAACAACTACAGAGACGCAAAACGACAACAAAAATGGAAAAAACAACCACAGGCAAAACTAATTACAATAAAGACCAAAACAATTGCAAGGTGGCCCAAACCAACAACAAAAAGAGGCGAAACATCTATAAAGTATGTTCATCTTGCATATCTGTACCCATGGGCCCATTGTCTCATAGTTTGCCCATAGTAGCAGTAATGAAACAAAGCTTTAACTCTGCTTTGATAACCTTGACAATTATTCCTTTTTCTTCACTGAATCACACAAGTTACACCAGCTCGAGCCAAAAGCAAAGTTATGTGAAAGAGAACAAGTCTCTCAATTCCTTAAGCGAGGCTTTGGATAATAACGGTCTTGTGAATTCAAGACATGTCTAGTAGAGTCCCTTCGGTACTTGGACCTTGTCAGACATTTTAAAGACTAAACACACACAGAGACAGATACGCAACATGCACACATGGCCTATGACCTTGTAGTCAGTGTTCCCCAGCTGTCTCAGCTCAACAATAACAATGACCTAAGACCACGTCCCAAACTCCTGATAGGACATTAAGAGAGAGACAAAAGTCACCATCAGCTCTTTCCGTCTTTCACAAACTATCCTTTCTATTCCACACAGAAGTAAATAGAAATGAACCCGGACCTGGAAAAACCCATATAGGGCACACAAACACATACACGTATTTCTGTATTGACTTCCTCAGGCCTTCTTATACACAGTTTGGTTTACTTGGTGTCACCAACACTGAAGTTTTGTCAGTCAAAAGCAGACATAAACAACTGGCTAAATGGCATAAGAGACCGATAGCGGGAGAGAGAAACATTGAAGAGATAAGGGAAGAGAGAGTGGGAAAAATAAAGCAAAAGGAAGGCATAGGATTAAAGAATAGACGGAGAAAGTTTTGAGAGAGTGGAAAGTGGAGATTGATTTGGGCTACAACATAATAGTTTGAAACTGAAACGGCACAAGCATAATGCTTAAATAAAGAGCAGCTGTCTAGACATAAGAAAAATACATTTTGTTTTGTGTAATGACGCTGTCGGCTCAAATGTACATGTACACAATTAACATCTAGAGCAATAGAACAAAAGTGACAGCATGCATGAGTAAGACAATTGTTTATCACTGTGCTCGCTCAAACTGGAAATTGTCTACTTGACAGCATCGCAGTAATACAATTTATTACAGTCAAGTTCTAAATCAAGACCAGAGTCATTACACTCCAGTCCCAAGTAATGTTCAAAGTTAAGACAGACAAGAAAATTCCAAATTCAAGACCGATATGTTTGAACGTAAGATAGTCAAGTCCCAGATTTCAAGAGAGTCAAGTCCTAAATTAGGTCCCGAGCCGGCACAATCAAATAACAAGTCATGTTAAATTAAATTTAGTCAAGATAGACAAGTATATATTAAACACGGCAAAGTCAACAGGTCTGGACAGGTAAGTCCAAAGTAAAGTTCGAAGGCTGAATCATTGGTTTTAAAGTTCAGCCCTGAGGCGTATCCCAAGTCAAAGTTAAGACAATCAAATCCCCAGTCAAGACAGAAATGCAAGTCCCAAGTCCTGGACTTTGGATTCTGAGTTGTGGACTCTTTTTTTTCATTCAAATTTGACATCTTTTCAAAATGGTAACCTCCTGCTTGAGAGCAGTAGCTTTGCCTGCTCTGCCTTTGAGTATGCTATTAATCAAGACTACTCCACTTTAGGCTAACGGGAAGATCAAGTCTTTAAAGTCAGACTCAGGCCTAATGACTGGAAGTCAGGAGTCAGTGATGTTAAAGTCAAAACTACATTGACAGTCTTTTTTTACTTTCTTAAGTCGATTATATATTGGAATTGCTGTCAATACTTTTATTCAAACAGAGAATCTAGAGACAGCTTTAAGCCTTATTGTTCAATCACTGGTAACAGAGAATACGTGAGTGATGGCAGGACAGACAGAAAGAGAGATGGACAAAGAGAGGACGAGAGGGAGTGTGGGAAGACTGGCAAAGGAGCGTTTGTTTTCACTGCAGAGGCTGGCATGTCTGTGTGTGTCCACGGTTTGTCTAACTCAATCTCTCTGTGTCTGTCTGTCTCTCGCTCTCTGTTGAGACGGTAAACACAGATGCTTCAGAGTGCCTGCGCAAGCAAACGCAGAGCCCTGTTCAAACACACACACACACACACACACACACACACACCTCACGCACACAAAGAGACAGAGAGCGGGAGACAGACAATGCAAACCAAAGAACTCTGGAGAAAACTGACAATAAGAGTGATGTAAGGGTGTGTGTTTATCGGTCGGTGTGGGCGCACACATTGCAGGTTTGTAATTAAATGCACAGCAGTTACAAAGGAGTGAATACAGTTAAAACCTTTGGGACCTTGGTGCAGAGATGAAACTTTTCAGAGGAAAAAAACACAGGCAGGCAGACATAGATTGAAATGTCACGTCGACACTTGAAGATGAGCTTATTTCAGAAAAGTAACGAAGTTCTTTTGCTCGATGAAGACCTTGAAGGTGCCCGACATTTCGCCTCGAGCTTTCCATCAATCAAAGCTGTACTATTACTGCAGGACGCTGCTGAGATCTCGGGGCTATCACAAATATTGCATCATATTACATTTTGTGTCTGAGCCACCCGACCAAGACAGTGGTGTCACATATCCAAACATCTCCTCTGTGAAAAACTGACTGTGCGTGTGTGCGAATAGTTTATTTCCTAGCAAATGGAAGCCATTCTTTGGCTTTTGGCGTTCAATTACACAAAACAACATTGGAGGAGAGGGAGCGCATTGTTTATCGGGTCTGTTTAATATAAAAATGACCCCATAGCTCTTTTTAAAATCCCCTTTTTTTAACAGCTATATACAGTTGGTACGGAAAGTATTCAGACCCCTTTAAATTTTTCACTCTTTGTTTCATTGCAGCCATTTGCTAAAATCAAAAAAGTTCATTTTATTTCTCATTAATGTACACTCAGCACCCCATCTTGACAGAAA